GCTGGCATGAGTGGAGTGAGACCATCATAAAAATGAGCCAGTTGCCAAGCATCTGAATTTTGATCAGGTGACCACGGGGATGCTGCAATGGTCAGTCTGAAAAACAGCCACAAGTCTCTTTTTTTTCAGTGCCCTGAGCAGTCAGTAAATAAAAGTTGTAAGACGAGGACTGCCTATATAGGGCTATATCAGCCCAGGTCAGAAATTATGTAGTGCAAAAGCATGCAAATAGATAAATAGGTGCCACTTTGTTGGGAAGATAACAGCGTTCTGTGCGTCTCAGTTTATAGCCATGCTGGCCACATGACCACAGAAACAAGGTTGATTCCTTCGGCTAAGAAACAGAGATGAGCACCAGAGATGAGTCAAACACAACTGGACTGGGGAAACCTTTTTATCTTTACCTTTTTAAAAGCCTCCAGCCATTTCAAGACCAGATCTTCATGGAATCTAATGAATAAATTATAATTTCAGTTAAAAATAAACTCTGGATAGTGGGCTTTAAGAAGTTGGATCAGGTTTTTGGAGAGAGAAGGCTGATGGAAGACAAACAGCATATGCAGTGTGTTGCAGCTACAGAATTTATTCTCATATAACACGCTAAGCTAATAAACTTGATTAATGGAAGGTAAAATAAAATTGTGACTTGGGCTTGTGAAACATGCTTTTTAGCTCAGTGTATTAACTATCTTGGCCAACTGCCTCTAACTTAGCGTGCTCCAGCGGTATTCAGTTCCCATTTCTAGAAGTTTAGAAGTTGGGTCGTGATGGGATTTTGGCTCTTGAAGCTGGAGAGACTGGTTGGGAAGAGAATAGAAACAGTCCTGCAGGGCAGCCTTTGCAACTGGCAAGCAAGCTTTTGGACTGAAATTATATGTCTACAATTGCATTTGAAGCAGTTGGGTTGGTGTTTTGAGCCTTCTGACCCAAACGTTCCTGTTGTAAACTTTGCCCCTGCTTTGCTTTCTTTCGAAAGTGATGCACAATTAGCTGTCCTTCCCTCCCTTTCAGAACTGAAGCCTACCTAGCAATTTTACTAATGCATAAGGTGAGCAATTTTAAAGAATTCTTACTGGAGTCAGAGATGTAAACATTTCTCTCTTTAACAATGCTGGTTATTCCAGCATGTGTGAGAGCATGTGTGAGAGAGAAAAACAGATTGATAGACAGGCAGGCAGACAAGAGGGAGGAGAGGAGAGGAAGGAAGGGAATTTAACTGTCCTCTTTGTGGCAGCTACAGAATAAATTTGATGCTTTGGAGCCAATAATACCTTTAATTTATATATATGTAGGACTTTTATGTATACTGTACTAACACCCCTTCTAAATAGCACATTTGCCACAGCTTGTTATTCTTCCAGTATTCTAAACTGGATGATTGAAAATATCTGGGGGGGGAAATCTAGATTTAGTATTAACATATTATTGAGTCCATTGACAATTTCTGAAGACTATTTATTGTCTTTTTAATACAGTACATAAATAAATCTCTGAGCAAGAGCTCTGGTTCTTGCCAGATTGAAACGTCTCCCTTTAGAAACTCTTTCTTTACGAGGGTTTGTACGCCACTCTCGCCCAGAGAGACTTAGGTCAGCTTGCATTCCCTCCTTAAGAAACTTAAAATAGCAAAACTAAATTACAAAGAGCACCCATCAGCATAAAGAAAATTGTAAAGACAACCAGCCACAGTAAATACGTACACAGAGATAATGGCTGGGTTAAAAAATCTATTCATTCGGTGACTTCAACTGTCAGAATTTCCACGAACAAAGATTCTGGCAGGGGAATTCTGGGAATTAAACTCTACACATCTAGAAGTGGCCAAATTGGGGGACACTGGATGGATAATCATCTCTGCACAATGGAAGTGATGTGACTCTTTTAATGCTGATGCAAACCAGTATCTTAGCCATGGCAACTTTAAGATGTGTGGACTTCTAACTCCCAGAATTTCTCAACCATAATCTTGTTGAGGAATTCTGGAAGATGAATGTCATGCATCTTAAAATTACCACGGTTGGGAACCATTGTCATAATGCCATTTTTGTTTAGCTATTTTTTCCAGCTCCATGGTATTATTTTGAAATATAACAACTAGAAGCATGCATCAGATTCTAAGTTTGCTCTAATTAATACTATACGTTATAAAAGGGGACAGACATTGCTGATCTTGTTATTTTCAGCTCAGAAATAACGCTAAGGAGGAAATTAGCTATTTTTTTATAGCAGCCACAAAGTCCTATACACAAAGTCCTCGTCTTATTGCTATAATTGAGGAATTACAGTCATGATGGTCCTAAAGTAAATCATCCCATGACTAAACTGATTTTACAACCTTTTCTCCTGCTATTTTTAAGCAAACCCTGTGGTTGTTACATAAACCCATTGATCACTATAATCCAGTTTTTGCTGAGAACCGGAAGTCAATCCTGGTTTCTGATAATAAAAAAAAAAGCTTGTAAATCTCAGTCACGGGATTCAGCTGCAAATGTAAACCAGTTGCAGAGCATCCAAAATACAGTCAAGTCACCATGTTGGGATTTTGGGGCGATCCGGCATAACTTCAGTCCTTATGTGATTGGTCGTAAGTCAAGGACTACCTGTATTCTCAAGTCACTTTCATACCCGCTTTTGTTCCATTAATACCGGTAGTTCTCACGTTGCTACCACCCAAAATTTATGTTGCTAAGTGAAACATTTGTTAGGTGAACTTATCCCATTTTTACGACTTTTCTTGCCACAGTTCTTAAGTGAATCACTTCAGTTATTAAGTTAGTAACATCGTTTTTAGGTGAAACTGTCTTTCCCGTTAGCTTTGCTTGCCAGAAAGTTGCAAAAGTGGATGATGTGACCCTGAGACGCGACAACCGTCATGAATATGAATCAGATGCTGAGTGTCTGAATTTTGATCATGTGACCATGGTCATAAGTGTGAAAAATGGTCATAAATCACTTTTCAGTGCCTTTGTAACTTTGAACAGTCATTAAATGGATTGTTTTAAGTCGAGAACTACCTGTACAGGTGCACTTTTTAAAGCTAATACACATCCGTTTGTTTTGAGGGGGAAGTAGGTTAATTAACCTGGTCATTGTTTTTACGAACAAATTAATCTGCAGTGGAAAAGGTCTTGAAAGTAGAATATCTGGAATGCAGAAAACAGTTTTAAACCGTGTAACAGGTCTATTTTGGGTTGGCTATTCTTAGGCTGTCACTTGGGCTTAAGCAGCCATCAAGATAAATACTTTTAAATCTTAATTTTCAATAAGGCGTAGCTGAATGGGCTTTAGCTGTCAGGTCACCTATAACAAGCTTGAACATGCTTCTTCCTGCACCCCACGGCTTTAACTGACTACCTAAACAAAATAAAATCTGTACCTTTTCTTCTGAATTCAGCCGTGGTTGCAAGTTTTCTGGGTTTTTTTTGTTTAAGGTTTAATATATATATTAAAAAACCAGTTTTGAAGATGATGATTCAGCTTCCAAAATCTTTCAGCAAACCTGTTGACTGTTACCAACATTTCATTTAGGAGCAGTAATGGTAGATTTATTATGCCAAAATACACAGATTACAGCAGTGGGATATCTCTAAACAGTGCAAGATGTATTACCTTAATTGCTAGAAAATGGTGAAAGGTTTAGTAATTTACTGGATGTTCCCTAATGTCCCAGGACAAGAAATATTTAAATTTCACATTGAAAATTTTAGAAAGATTGAGACGGATATTTTTCTTTTTCAACCTGGCATTCCTCTAAATGTTCCCTCCTCTTGCATTGTCCAGCTGTTTGACAGTAAATGCTGTGTGAAGCCTTAAAATGCGGTTTTAACATAGGGAGCAAATGTAGATTTGAGGTGCTTGCAACCCGATACCATGTTACCCATCTTTACTAAACTGTCACATGGCTTGTTTGATTCTGGTTTAGGGAAAACTGTGAATCCAGCTATAATACGGATAGTTCTTGACTTATGATCACAATGGGGACCAGAATTTCCAATGCTAAACAAAGTGGCTGCTAAGTGAGTCATGGCCTGATTTTCTGACCTTTTTGATTAGGGGCCTGGAGATTATAAGGAATGGTTGCAGGGATTGGGTATGTCTAGTTTAATGAAAAGAAGGACTGGGGTGACATGAATAAAAAGAGTGCAGAGAGGAGCAACAAAGAGGATTAGGCGACTAAAGAACGATTGCTGGAATTGCGTATCTAGTGAAAAGAATCATTAGGGGAGACACGATGGCAGTCTTCCAATATTTGAAGGGCTGCCACAAAGAAGAGGGGGTCAACCTATTCTCCAGAGCGCCTGAAGGCAGGACAAGAAGCAACAGATGGAAACTAATCAAGGAGAGAAGCAACCGAGAACTAAGGAGGAATTTCCAGACAGTGAGAATAATTAATCAGTGCAACCACTAGCCTCCAGAAATTGTGGGTTCTCCATCACTGGAGGATTTTAAGAAGAGATTGGACATCCATTTGTCTGAAATGGTATGGGGTTTCCTGCTCAAACAGGAGCTTGGACTAGAAGACCTCCAAGGTCCCTTCCAACTCTGTTATTCTGTTAAGTGAATCATAGGGTTATTAAGGGAATTCTGCTTCTCCCATTGACTTTGCTCATCAGAATTTGGCTGAGAAGGTTGCAAAGGACAACCACGTGATTGCAGGATGCCGTAACTAATAAATGCACTCCAAACAACCAAATTTTGATCACGTGACTGGGGGGAGGTTGTGAAAGGTCTGGTTCTAAATCACTTTTCAGTGCTGTTGTAACTTCTAACGGTCACTAAACAAGTTGAGGACTACCTGTAGTTTATAAACCAGAGTTTGATTTTTAGGATTGTGTGCAAGTCAAGCACCTGCTTCAACAAAAGTGGTTAAAATCAAGATGATGCGGGTCAATCTATCAGCAGATGTATCAAATGGAGATCAGTGGTATCAGTGGAGAAAAATGATCAGGAGAATCTTCTTTCTTCCACTTAATAAAAGCCTTTTCTCCTTATCAATACAGGTTCTGTTCTGGATGTGATCAAGCACATTGTAGCCAAAGGAGAACATAAGAATGGAGTCCTGGACGAGCCTGTAATAGCCACAATCCTCAAGGAAGTTTTGGAAGGACTGGAGTACCTACATAAAAATGGGCAAATCCACAGGTGGGTCTCAGACGTGTTCTTCAGAGGGCTGATACTTCCATGTTTTTCCTATCCATGAAGAGCCAGAGCTCTGCATTCCAGCTGCAATCCCTCCCCCTTGTTTGTCTGGTGTTAATCCCTGCTTACCTGGAAACAATGGGTTCTACTAGTCTTTTTCTTTCCTTCCTAGGTTTTTATTATCTTTTTTTTTTAATATAAATTTTTATTGGTTTTTAAAACAAACATAAACAAACAAAACATAAAAACATCAAATCATCTTCCATATATGTACATACAGTGTGCTGGTTGGCTTACAAATTGTTTTGTGCTTCCATTTCATAGTCTTCAATTATAATTACGTTGCATATAATCTCGTATTTTCAATCAATATATTAAATACATTAATATCATTATTAATCAATCATTTGACTATACTTTTATTCATTCATGTTTTCCAAAATGATCATATTTTACTTAATTTGTTTTATGACAATTCATATTATCATCCCAGATCTATCCTTGAATCATTTTGTAGATATAATAAGAAAAGAATACATCTTTATATATTTATTATTTTCTAAAAGTCTACATATTTCATTACTATATTTTATTGTCTAACCATTGATAGAATAGATCCCAAATTTTATAAAATTGTTTATCCTCTTGTTCTCTAATTTCAAATGTCAATCTACTCATTTCAGCACATTCCAATATTTTCTTAATGATTTCCTCCTGTGATGGTAATCTGCGTTTAATAGGGAGATAGGTCTATAGTTCTTGATAATGGATCGGTCTCCTCTTTTGGAACAAGTGTGATATAAGCTTCTGACCATGATTTAGGTATCCTCTTCTTTAACATAACTTCATTCATAACATCTAGCAGTGGAAAATTCAATGATTCTTGTAATGTTTTGTAAAATTCTGCCGGAAGTCCATCTGGGCCTGGTGCCTTTCCATTATTTTGTTTCTTAAGTGCTTCAGTTAACTCCATCATCGTTATATTGCTTTCTAACATTGTTTCAATCTCTTTAGATATCTGGGGTAAATTAGCATTCTGTTTAACTCTTTCCTCATCAATATTCTCTTGTGTGTATAGTTTCCCATAATAATCTCGAATAATTTCCTTCTTCTCTTTACTACCATAGCAAACTTGGCCTTGGTCATCTATTAATTGGGATATTTTCCTTGATTCTTTCTCCTTTCTCAATTTATATGCTAACCATCTACCTGGTTTATTTGCATCTTCAAAATAGTTCTGTTTGGCACCTCTAATTTTTTGTGCTAATTCTTCTTTTTCTATTAGACCCATTTTATGTTTGGTTATGTCCATTTTTAACTTAATGTCCTTTCTCTGTGGCATTTTCTGTAGCTCTTTTTCGAGTCCTTTATGCTCATCTTCTAATGCCTTAGGGGCTAATCTTTTCATGGTATTTCTTTTCCTTGTATAGTCTATTATCAAGGCTCTGGCATGTGCCTTCATTGTATCCCATACATTCTGGATTGATGTATCTTCTTTTTTGTTTTGATAAGTGTCTATTTGAGTAGAAGGTGTATTGTTTAGTTTTAGCGTTTCTTTCTCTCCATGTATCTTTTAAGTTTATTTCATCTACCATTTTAAAAAAAGATTTAGGGAGAGTCTTTCTATTTTGCTTTATTGTTTCTGTGCTGTGTAGTCCAGTTTATTGTCTACAATTCCATTAAAATCTCCCATCATAACTATATTAACATAGTCCAGTTCAACTATTTTCATATGTAATATTTTATAGAATTCTTCTTGTTTGTCATTCGGGGCATAAATTGCAATCAGGAGTGTTTTCGTATTATTGTCCATTATTTCCACCATTAATATTCTTCCATCGTCATCAGTATAAATCAATTTCGCTGAGATGGTCTCTTAAATATATAAAACCACTCCTCTTTTCTTACATTGTGTCAAGGAAGTGAATATTTTCCCTAATTTTGGCTGTATAAACAATTGCTCATATTGTTTTTTAATATGTACTTCTTGTAGGCAGATTATATCAATTTTTAATTTCTCTAATTTATGAAAGATTTTCCTTCTTTTAACGGCTGAGTTAAGTCCATTTATATTAATTGCAATCAATTTTTTCTCTTCCATGGTTATATTTTGTAATTAGGTTTGACAGCTCTCGTGGATCTTGGTTCACGTTTTTCTTTGGCTTCCTCCTTTCCACCTACTGCACCTTTTTCTTTTTCAGTCGTCATTTGGGAGTCCTCTTGGAATTCAATTAGTGAAATTTCTTTTTCTGCCTCTTCCTCCCCTCTGAAAAATTCTGTGTAAAATGATTCAGCTTTCTCAATTGAGTCAATTCTATATCTCTGTTCTTGCCATGTAAACATTAAACCTTCTGGAATCAGCCATCTATAATTCACCTCTTTTTTAAGTAATAATTTGGTCAAGAATTGGTATTCCCTTCTCATCTCTCTCACTCTTCAGGGTACTTGTTTCAAGACCACAATCTCCTTATCTTTATATTTCAATGTTTTCTCTCTTGCCACTTGCAATATTTGCGTTTTAATGGCTTTCTTTGTAAATCTGATGTGAACTTCTCTTGGTAAGCTATTTCTCATCGCATATCTTGTGAAGACTCGATAAACCTCATCTATTCCATCCATCATCTTCTCTTCAGTTATTTCCAAAGCTTCAGCCAATATTTCTATCATTATCTCAGCTAGATTTTGTCCTTTTTCTTCCTCTATGTTTTGGAATCTAAGATAAAATTCTGATCTGTCCATCTCCCATCTCAGCATACCACTTTTATCTTGTTCAACCACAGTTAATCTGTTATCAATGTCTCCAATCTTCTTGTCTCTTTGTTTATCTTCTTCTTCAATTTTTTGGAGTCTCTCATCATACTTCATCATCATTTGTTGGATGTTCTCCACTTTTTCATCGGTTTTCCCTGTTCTTTGTTCAATGTTCTCTGTTCTTTGTTCAATGTTCTCTATTCTCTTTTCAATATTCTCTGATCTTGTTTGAATATTTTGAATTCCTTGCATAATCATCTGCAGGGTCACTTTTTCTTGTTCTTTTTCGTGCCTTAATATTGTCTGTATTGAACGTTGTCCTCCAGATGGTGGAGAGGAAGAAGTGGAAGTTGAAGAACCAGGAGCTGTTAATTTCCTACTCATTTTGAGGAGTTCAAAATCTTCAGGTTCTTCTAGACCTTAATCCAGTTGTAAAATAACCAATTGCAGTTCCAAATAAAAATAGTAGGAAAAAAGTAGAAGAATAGTAAGAAAAGAGAAGCCAAATAATAATAATAATAGAAAAAGAAGAAAAAATTTCTTCAGGTTCTTGTATACCTTAATCCAATCGGTTGGTTAGATGACAGTAAAAATTCAAAAATGAAGGAAATGACCATAAACACACCATGAACACACACAAAAAAGAGAAAATTGTAAAATCCTAAAAAAGGCGAAAAAGTGAAGAAAAAGGCTAAAAAAGAAAGGAAAAATTCTTCAAGTTCTTCAATACCTTAATCCAATTAAGAGATCTCAAATATAAAAGTATTCATAAAAATTGGAAGAATGAAAAGTGATTGTTTAAAACAATATTTCTCAACTTCAAGAACTTTAAAATGCTCAGACTCCAACTCTGTTCTCCCGTTCTCAAGCAAGAGATCCTGCACCATATCAGACAAATGGTTGCCTAATCTCTTTTTAAGAACCTCCTGTGTTGGAGAACCCATAGCTTCTGAAGGCAAATCCTCCACTGATTGAGGGAGTCCTTGGTGGTCTCTGAGCTTGCCTGTTCTCTTGTAGACATTTCATTACCCAAACTAGGTAACATAATCAGTGCTGGTAAGGAGTGCAGTTTGCTATCAGTTTATATTCTAGTGGCATGCTGTCAGTGTTGATGGAGGTGGTATCAGAGGTTTTTTGGTTTGGCTGTTTGATCTTTGGTCGTTTCTTGATATTGTTTACTTGATTGTTGGTCTGATGTTAACCTTGGAATTAATCTATGCTGATCTGGGTGCTGATGGCTGGTGGAGAGTTGCTTGGGCCTTTTTGCTCATTTACTTACTTACTTCTTTTGGGATCATAAAAGGAGACATCCAGGATGAATAAAATGTGCCAAGAGAAGATTAAGACACCAGAACACAGAGCCTCACTTGTGTTCTCTTGGTGTTGATTCAAGACCACAACATGCTGGAACTGATTTAAAACCTGGTGTTGATTGACAGCTCTGCTGTTGCCAATAAGTGAAATCTAAATTGGCACAGTTAAATCATTTAATGTGATTATGAGGTTTAGAGGAACAAGGGATCACTTCTTTCTGTGCTGTGATCCTACAGCAGCAGATTTTTCTGTTAGATGAGAGCCACAGTCTTTCGAGAATAGATTTGATTCCCTCTTCTTTCTGCCCCTTAGATATTGGAAAACTTCCATTATGTCACCCCCGCTCCTTCTTTTCATTAAACCGACATATCCGATTCCTGCAACTGTTCTTCATACGTTTTAGCCTCCAGCCCCTAATTATCTTCTGCACAATTTCCAGTATCTGAACATCTTTTTTTTTATATTGTGGCGACCAAAACTAAATGCAACATTCCAAGTGTGGTGTTACCCAGGCATTATAAAGTGGTATTAACACTTTACATCGGGGTGTCAAATGTCATCACGGTGGTGTCGCATGATGTATCGGGATTATTCCTCCCTTTGCTAAACTGGGCGTGGGCATGGCCAGCACGTGATGCATCCAGGCCAGGGGCCAAGAGTTTGACAGCCCTGCTTTACATGATCTTGATTCTTTCCCTCTGTTAATGCAGACTGGGACTGTGTTGGCTTTTTTGGAAGCTGCAGCACAACTGCTGGCTCATATTTAAGTAACTGTCCTCTAGGATTCCAAGATCCCTTTCACAGTTACTACTATTGAATTAGGTACCACCTATTCTATATCGGTGCATTTGGTTCTTCTTGCATAAATATAGAACCTTACTTTTTTCACCATTGAATTTCATTTTGTTGGACAGGGCCCAGTGTTTAAGTCTGTCAAGATCCTTTTGGATCCTGCGCTTGTCTTATGGAGTGTTGGCTATTCCTTCCAAAAAAGGAACCAACTCTGTGTTCCTTAGAAAAGCTTCAAAGATACAACCCAAGCGTTGCATCTTTAAAACATAAGAACACAAGAAGATGAGAAAGTCTGTCTTGAAAGTGTCCAATCAGCAAGGAGACCATGTTCACCGACAGTCCTAAGACAACAACAGATTCTAACCCCATTTTGTTGAACAAGCCATTATGCCTTGATTTGCATGTTGCACCAATTTCTAAAAGAAGCTACATTTTGAGTTGGAACTTGTTTTGAATTGATGTAGTGCACCATTTTGTGGCCTTTGGGGGGTGGGGTGTCTTCTAAACAGCTTTGAATGTTCTTCGGATAATAGGGATCTTGACTTGTTGATATGGACATTGTCTTGTCCTTGAAGCAAGGAGAGGAGGAAGGACTTCACCTCCAGGAATAGAATCTCTCCATGCCCTGAAGACAATTGTCTTCAATCCATCAACACACCACCCTTGTCATTTGCAATTTGAGATGGTGCAGAACAAGAGCATAAGCAGATTCGTTCTGCATCTTTGCCATTGTCAAACATAATCTGGCATGAACTACCACGGGACCTTTACAGTGTGTTTTACAAGTAGTTTCCCCCCCCCCCCCCCGGTAAAAAGCAAATATGATAACAAAAAAACAAAAGGAGACCTGTTGCACTAATTGGTGGACATTTTTTCACTTTTCCCATTAGCTGGTTGTGAGGGACCAAGACAAAGTGGATTGTGGCACATAAAAGTGGCCAAGAATTGCAAGTTTAAGACCAGTGATGGGAAGTGGGACCTATGAAGACTCCTATTCAGCTCTTTGGGCTTTTTTCCCAGACCACATTAATCTTCCACATTCTCAGATAACAGTAAAAAGACTAGGAATGACACGATAGCAATGTTCCAATATTGAGGGGTTCAAAACTATTTTCTAAAGCACCAGAAGGCAGGACGAGAAGCAATAGATGAAAACTAATCAAGGAGAGAACCTAGAACTAAGAAGAAACTTCTTGACAGTTAGAATAACCAATCAGTGGAAAAGCCTCCAGAAGTTGCAGGTGCTCCAACACTGGAGGCTTTCAAGAAGAGACTGGACAGCAAGTTGTCTGAAGTGGTACAACGTCCCCTGCTCGAGAAGAGGGTTGGACTAGATGACCTTAAAGGTCTCTTACCGGTCTATTCTGATTGATTGATTTCCTGGTAGTCTTTTATCCAAGTATTAACTAGGTTTAACCCTGTTTAATTAAAAATTAGCCAGGGCCGGCTAGTTCCTGCCATTGTTGTTGAGGTCCAAGGAAGCTGGATGCTGAGGTTAGCCATCTTCTTTGAAACCCCTGTTCTAGTTACATGGGGAAACACCAATTAGCACCATTAAATCCGCAGACAGAAATTCAAATTTCCTTTGGTCTTTTTTTTTTTTAGCTTAAAACAAGTACTGTCTGTAGTACAGGTAGTCCTCAACTTATGACAATTGAGTCTGAAGTTTCCATTGCTAAGCGAGGCAGCCGTTGAGTGAATGTTGCCCTTTTTACAACCTTTCTTGCCACAATTGTTAAGCGAATCGCTGCAGTAACCCAGTTGTTAAGTGAGTCCACATTGACTTTGCTTGTCAGAAGGTCACAAAAGGGCATGACACCCCCCCCCGCCCCCACCTGGACACTGCACCCATCGTAAATATGATCCCGTTGCCAACTGTCTGAAATTTGGTCATGTGACCGTGGGGATGCTCCAACGGTTGTAAGCGTGAAAAGCAGAGGCCATTTTTTTCAGTGCTGCTGTCGTCGCTTCGAGTGATCACCAAATGAACGGTTGTAAGTCGAGGACTACTTGCACTGGGCAGTGTTTCTCAACAATTCCCAGCGTGCTGACTAGGGAATTCTGGGAGTTGAAGTCCACACACCTGTTTCCCACAGGGGAACACTGATCTAGTATGCCAAACCTAAAGGAAACCAGCTATCCTGGGAAAATGGCGCTCCCTGCCAGCGTCCTACCGAAGAGGAGGGTCTGTCCCGGGGGTCTTCAAGAGGGAAGGAGGCCCCCCAGTTCAGCTTCAAAAATGGAAACACGCTCTCTCATTTGACAGATCCTCTAATCTTTACCAGAAGAGGAAGTACATTCAGTGACGCATTAGTTGTGTGGGTGTTTATATGTGTTTCCTTACAGCCCTTTGCTATATAGGTAGTCCTCGACTTACAACAGCTCGTTTAGCGACCGAAGTCACAGTGGCACTGAAAAATGGGACTTATGGCCATTTTTCGCCCTTAGGATCGTTGCAGCCTCCCTGTGGCCACGTGACTTAGATTTAGATGCTTGACAAGTGGTTCGTATGCATGACAGCCACGGTGTCCCAGGGGTCATGTGGTCTCCTTTTGTGACCTTCTGAAGGGAAGCCAAATTAACTTAACAACCACGTTATTAATTTAACAACTGAAGTGATTCACTTGACAACTGTGGCAAGAAAAGTCTTTAAATGGGGCAAAGCTCACTTAACGAATTTCTCACCCCGCAACAGAAATTTTCAGCTCAATTGTGGCCGTAAGTCGAGGACGAGCTGTAGCTTGTTTTAAAGAGTGACCCCCTCCAGCTTGCCTTTGCAACTGCATTAGCAAACTTAGTTGTTAAGGCAACTGACCCGTTCCTCCTTCGAACTCTGGACTTTGGCCCGACTCGGGTTTTCAAGCATAGCCTTTCCCAGCGCGGCTTTCTGTCCGAGGCTGTGGGGGGCGTTGCTTAATGCCCGGAGAACATTATGCTGAGATCATTGTTTTGGTAGCAGCCGGAAAAGTCCTGGAGATTTTCCAAGGTGTAGAAACTTCCATTTGGCGGCAGGCCCGGATCAAGAATCATCTTCAGTGTCACAACCGATTTGCCCCGAATCTATTCTTTTTTGTTGGCTTGGAGGGTACAGCTAGTCCTCGACCACCGTGGAACCCAAAATTTCCAGTGCTAAGCAAGACAATTGTTAAGTGACTTTAAGCCCCATTTTATGACTTTTCTTGCTGCAATTGTGAAATGAATCAATGCAGTCGTTAAGTTAGTAACCTGGTTAAGTGAACCTTGTTAAGTATTTGTGTAGTGTCTATTACAGGTGGAGACCCTTTGAGAGCTGTATGCAATGAAATTTTTATATACGCCGATTAGTGTACATTTAAAGTGAAAATAAATTTAGTCTAAGTCTGGCTTCCCCCAGTGACATTTTTGTTAGAAGGTTGCAAAAGCGGATCACATGACTCAGAGGTACTGCAACCATCATAAATATGACTTTTTTCAGTGCCAGTGTAACTTCAAATGGTCACTAAATGAATGGTTGTAAGTTGAGGGCTGCCTGTACATTGCTGGTTACCAAACACCCAAATTTTGATGCTGCAAAGGTCATAAATGCATACCCAGGTCCTAAGTTCTTTTTTTGTGTGGTGCTGACTTTGCTTTAAGAATGCATTGGTTTTGACTGCCACAATGGGAAGGAAACACAGAATTTGCATCCATACTCATGGCTATATTTTCTTTCTCTCTTTCTCCCTCCGTCCCCTCTCTCTCCCCCCTCCTTCCTCCCTCCCTTTCTCCTTCCTTCCTTCCTTCCTTCCTTCTTTCTTTCTTTCTTTCTTTCTTTCTTTCTTTCTTTCTTTCTTTCTTTCTTTCTTTCTTTCTTTCTCTCTTTCTTTCTTTCTTTCTCTCTTTCTCTCTTTCTCTCTTTCTCTCTTTCCTAGGGATGTGAAAGCTGGCAATATCCTACTGGGAGAAGATGGGTCAGTCCAGATTGCCGGTGAGTATCCATCAAACCTTTGGAGAGAGCCCAAACAAATGCAGAGCTCCGGATTGTCTGACTAAGTAGACTCAACTGAACATATGTCTCCTTTTCCAATTAAGTGAAGGAAATATGTTGGGTGGCATTTATCCGTGTAAATATTCCCAACTGCTCAATTGGATTCAGCGGTGGTTATTCTGAGACTTTGCTCTGCTACCACGATATCACTTAGATATTTGGGGGGGGGGGGGGGGGGGGGGGGGG